CTGTTGGTATTTAAAAACAAAATAGCGCCGCGGTCAAAGGATATCGCGTGATGTGGATTCGACAAGTCATTATTCGTGTTCATTATGGGTATTATTTCAAAGCCAACAAAACGTACTTCCACGTGGTTGCACATTGCGCAGTATGTATATACCCTGCAGACATTACTGAGGAACCAGCTTGTGAAGTGTGGAATAATGTTCCCAAAGTTAACGCGACTGCTCACGTTGCTTATGCGGTATCCACATTATAACGAGCGCCACCAAGCGACCAACGCTGTAGTTAACAAGGCAGTTAAGTTTATTCCCACCTCAGATTATTGTTCCATGCCACGTATCGTGGAAATAAATTTTAACCTACAATAATGGAAATTGTACCCTCAAATGTGGAGGCCAAAGTCTCAGCTGTATTAGCATTCCTTTTTTCTCAATCAAATGCGCGGGTATTTTATTTCGACCTGGTCTGGTTGACGTCGGAAAATGTACAATGTTGTTATGATGGGAAGAACTTTTAATATGATTTGTTTGAATGCATGGCTTGCACTTACGATGAGCTTCTAAATCATTAAAGAGCGACAATATTGGCATTCAAATCCAACAATTTTTATAAAATAAAATTAAATTACGGTGTATTCAGGCGTGATTGAGAACTGCAAACCGCAATGCACCGCGCGGATACCTGTTTTTTCATCACCAACATTAAAGGTCGGTGTTTGTCGTACCGCGCATGTACGACATTTGTGTTGATAAAAGTTGGTTTTCCCAGAATCCTATGCGATCTTTTACTGTAAATCACGAGTACGAGTTCTGAACTTGGCGCAACGCTCACACAAATTACTGCTGTGATTGGTTGAGACTCGGTCACACTACATTAAACAAAAATAAATATTACACGGTATATTGCCCGCTAAGTGGATATTACACGGGTATATCATATGGATGACGTCACTACACTACTTAATGCGCATCGCCACTGCGCATAACAAATTGTCGCTCGCTGATTTCGTTTTCTTTGCCGTCGCTGTTATTTATTCTGTCGCAATGGCTTTGAAGAGGCATGCATAACTTTCAGCGTCCGAATTGGACAATATTCTTTTAGAGAATGGCAGCAAGAGGACCAGGATCGCAATAAATAATTAACATTTTCCACATTCAAACAATACCTGGAAAGCAAATTCGGTCACTTCGATATGGCTTTCAAAGGTATTATTATACATCTGTCATCGTAACGCCACAAGTCGAAGCGATATTGCACTGGTTATTTTCAGCCGACCATATTTGGAAATGCGAATCCCAAATATGGAACGATTACGCGCGTACGTGTCCTCTAATAATAAAAACAAAAATGGCAGCCCCCAGAGTTTGACCGGACCCCATACAAAATAGTTCGTTCAATCTGTTCTGAACATTTTGTATTTCGGTATTCCTATGATGTATATTATAACCAACCTCCGATGCGCCGAAATTTTGATTTATTCAACGGAGATGTTCGCAGCCATAAGTAAGTAGATTACAAGTCAAGGCAAAGGAGACGTTGTTCACAAAGCTGTCATTTTTACTGACGAGCTCAAGAAGCTGACAACATTACTTTAGTAGATATAACACCAGTGTTTTTGTCCTTCTACACAAAGTATAATTCAGTATTATGCTATATTTTTGTCGACGAGAAAGAGAAGGTCAGCGTGACTTACGGTGAAGTCGGGCGATAACAGTAGCATTATTCAGTTGGAGAGCGAATTGACCAAGAATTTCCAATGCGTCGACGACGGCGTGTCTGATGGCATCATGCACGCTGTGATTGGTTGAGACTCGGTCACATGACATTGAATAAAAATAGATATTACATGGTATATTGGCCCGCCAAGTGGATATTACATGGATATATTACATGGATGACGTATTTTGACGTTGTTAAAATACATAAAATAAAATATTGCATATAAGTGCTGTTATTTTGTGGGAAATGGGTGTGAGTGATGTATGGTAGATGTGATTGTGCACGGTGGATGTCTGTTCGATGTGATAAAATGAATAACACATGGTCATTCGGGCAATATCACGATATCACAACAAATCGTATATTACCCTCACAAACATGTGTTATCATATGTCGCCCTCTGTCGTATCGCGTGAGATGCAACTGCGTAGAACTTTTCCGTGCGCCCCCAACGCCAAATGAAGTAGTTGGAACACGGATGCAGACACATTTACTGTGCGGTGTCAACGAGCCACGATATCTATATAGGTTCAAAGAGGATTAAAAAAAGAACCTAACGCT